AATAGAATGGCTTCGTTTTATTGAAATAAATGAAAGAATAATAACGATTTTCTGTTTATTATAACTAAAAAAATACTAAATAATCAATCAGCTTTTCCTGTTTAATATTTAATACACGCGTACTATACTATAATACAAAAGTTTCAATACAAAATACATTATCTTCATCACGTTACTTCATATAATATTTGATCCAACACTCAATTAAACATTATAGATTTGGTTTACAATCAATGTAAAATCATACTGCCTCCGCTCCACTCGCGAAAATAAATCAAATCACAGCTGATGGCAATGGGTTGAACATTAAGGCAAAAGATAATAATTTTCCTCGAAGACTCTGGAACGTTGAAAACAAAAAAGTAAACAAATCAAATATTTATTACCCTTTCCTGTGAAATGTTTAGTGTAGCAGTGAGTTTGAACCACCATTAACTATTACAGTCAAATTTTAAAACAGTTGCAAGGACGATAATTGAAACCTAATATCGCGATCGAAAATTCGTGTAAACTTATTCGTGTGACAAATGACTCCATAATAATCGAGAATTCGGTATTCTTAACGAATAACGTTGTGTGATTCTATCACGACGTTAGACTCGATTAGTGTCGACTAAGGATTCAATAGCGGGAGAAAAATTTTTGAAGCATCCTTGATAACCGTGAAAGTGGAACAAAGTGCGTTCAAGGGCCTTTGTTACTGGAAAAGCATAGGCTGGAAGATTGCATTCCTTTGTTTTATCGAGGACGGAAGAAGTAAGTGTTAGTCGATATTTATGTCAAGTGTCTTCGGTCTACATGTGTACAAAGACCTGTGTCCTTGCGACTAAGTACATCGTGAACTCCTATTGGATTCCTGGTTCTGATGCTTGATCACCATAGACATCCATTTTAAATTCTATGGCTGAGTCCGTGCGTTGCACAGCATTTAAAACTCTGGAAAATTGCTATCAAAGGAATTTATCAGTGTTCGGTATAATACGTTGCAACAACGCAATTGTCGAAATACAAGATAATATAGAAGAACAAGACTTCAGAAAAAATGGAATCTACTTGATCATCTATTTTATGAAATGATAGTTGAAATATTATAGTAAAATTGTTGGTCATTCTTCATTAGGAAATCACTGAATTCATTCTATCAGATATATTAATTTTGATAACGAATGCTGTGTTAATGAATAACAATAGCTGTGTTAGTGATAGTTTGGACGGATTGCAATGAAAAACATTATAATAATAAGATATAATAATGTGTTTATTGTGTCTTAATAATAACAAAACATAACAAAATTCAGAATTAAATATTATTAAAACATACAATATTACGGTACGAATATTAAACAGTATAGGAACCGTATTTTGTATGTGCAATAACAATAGATATTCTTATCTTGGAAAGCTGTTTTAACGTTACATAAACACGAACGTACGTATAAACACGTTAAAATTACAAAGTCATGACAGAACAATCTGTAACGAAAGGTAATTATTATTAATTAATACATGGAGGATATATTGGTTATTTAATTAACGTCACGCAACAGCCATTACTTATTTGAAACTGAACAATATAATTTCGTATTCAGCGCTCAATATTAATTCCTGGCACGAGATATTGAGATTTGAGTTCATTGAATTCTATAGAACCGACGAAAGGATACTGAGAAATTCGATTAGCGTATTTTCTATTCAGCTTAAAACAAAGTACAATTTGTTGGCGAGTTTTATGAATATCGATTCCAGAGTTAACGAGGTTAAAAAAATTAAAAGTACCTTCATGCAACCATTTCCTTTTTGTTTCATTTCCTTATTATTAGGTGTACTAATTAGCATTTCCATATTTCATTAACAGAATTCTAGTATTGTTTCGAATGTTTTTCAATGATTCAAGTTAAAAATGGCGCAAATAAAATTTTTATTTCTAAACATTATCTTATGTCATTATTACTACTTTCTGAACATTAAGCACGTTTTCAGTTTTATATAAAATTACATCGGGATATGAAAGTAATGTTATGTATTTAATAACATTAATATGTTTGTCCGATTTTGGAAATTTTGATAACTTCTTAGTTACCATGCTATTGATTGTAAATGACATGTACTTTAAAATCTTCTATGAGACATAGAATAAAGTGTACATGAAAAATAAGAATATGGAAGAACCTAAATATTTACGTAAATATTAAAAGGATTTCATGCTTAAAGTTATGAAAACCATAAATATTAAGGTTTGATAAACTTACTTATTTTCCTTGATTGATTTAATAATGTGAATACGAATTCTGATTCATCTCCCTCGTCTAATTTAAAAATCTAAAATATTTTAATTCTGAATTGCGAAATACCAAAACATCAGTTCTAAAATTGCGATAAAAAATATTCGCCAAGAATTATTTATTACCGTAAACGTGTATTTAAATTAGGAAACTCGTAACACTATACAATACTGATACAATTATAGAAAACTATAAATGTTCATAAATTCAGTAAAACAAACACCATAGTAAATTTATGTACGCCTTCATAAACCGACTTTACTTTTCCATTAAATACTAAATAAAAATTCGAAACGAGTACAATTTGATTATACAAACACAACTTCTCGAAAATTCTTTTCAAATTTCATCACGCAATCTAATGTACTTTCAAATTAACGTATTTTCTTCATTTTTTATGATATTCAGGTTCTCTTTCAAGCGTATAATTGTTAAAAATATTTTTTTTTCATCCATTTTCTCAAGCATTCAAGAAAATATTGTACTGTTCATTTTCGGTGGCTTCTACTTAATGTACCAGATTCGCTGAAAATTTTTGTCATTTTACTTTCCAATGTAAAGTTTATATTATAATTTATGAATAAGTGTTACAAATAAAGAAATTAAAAAACAATAAGAAGCTTCCAAATAAAATATACAATGCATAATTCAATAAATCTTACTTCAATGGAGTGAATTTGTTTTTTAACACCGGGTTTACGGACGTTTATTGTACGATTTATTGATTGATTTTATTATTTGACCAAGTATTGTTCATAAAATTCAACATGCGTCAAATTGGCGCATTCCGTAAACCTAGTGTTAAATGTGCAAAATATGTAATAACATTTTGCAAATTTCATTCTTTATTAGATCAACTTATTGTAAACTCTGGCATTACTTAGATTACGTGATCCTTATTGATTATTTCGATCTATGTTAATATTCACAAAGATTAGCGTTGTCAGTAGCACGGTATTATTATTTTTAGCAATAAATTCGTAATTGAAAGATGGCGTGATATTTAAAACGTGGATAATTTCGTATCGTCGTCAATACTAAATCGAGCATAAAATTTCGTTTAGAAATGTGGCGAAACTTTGTAGCCAATCTAGTACTTAATTTGTATTACATCGTCAATTTTTTTCGAATTAGAACGAAGATTACGTCGAAACAATCAATATTAACAATAATAAGATGACAGTAAATGGTATGCATATCAGAAACCCACCAGAGAGAATATTTGTTGGATTATATTTGACATGACATTGCGGCTACTCTCTAAACACGTATTATACAAATGTGCCGACCGGGAATTAGCGTGGTCTTTCGTATTTGTCGAAGTAGAAATAGCGCTATGCATCTGCATGATTAATAACATTAAAGGATTTAAATGAGAAGTCCTACAATTATTGATTTGAGGTTGAAATTAAGTGAACTGTGCTTTTTCTCACGAATGGAAACTAAACTATTCTGTTTCCTTGTCCAAGTAAGAAGATAATTCTAATCCCTAGTAAATTAAAGATAATTCTAATTCTGCGTAAATTAAAGCTAATTGTAATATTGAGTAAAGGTAATTCTAATATTTAGTAAATTAAAGGTAATTCTAATACAGAGTTTGTTACAAACGGAAGCAGGAGATCGATAATCAAAATAGTCAACATTCAAGTATATTCACATTCTTATACATCAATTTTAAGGAAGTGGTAACAAAAACTATGTAATTTCTGATAGTAATACATCCAATTGATACAACATAAACGAAAAATATGTTAAATTCTATTCAACTTTGTATATTATAATTTTCTAAAAATCTTTAAAAATGAAATATAATACAAATAAATAGAATAGAAAATACGTTCCTTTTATTATAAATTTTTGCTGAACGCAAAATCTATTTTATATTGGAAACAATTTTTTACTTTATTATGCATTGTATATCTCGAAATATTATTAATGCATAAAATGTATATTGTAATTATCAATATTAATATCGTAATTCATTGTTTTATGAGAACTTAAAAATAACATTTTAATTTTTCCATTTAAGAATTTAATATTTTTGTCACTTCTAAGGGAAAATAAACTAACTACGATATGATATCTCACATATCCGAGAAGAATAACCTATGGTGAACAAAAACGTAAGAAAGAAGAAATGCGTCAAGCTTAGTCGTTCAGAGCACGTATCTTGCTTTCTATTTATCTATCGGCAGAGCGTCGGAAAGAATTCGTTTATCGCCGTATCCGCAAAATTTATATCAACTTGAAGGACATTCGTTTCTTTTTGCATCTTCGAAATAAAATATAGAATATTCTGACCGGAGTTTCCTCTCAGACGTTCACAGATTTTTGTTTACACGATTCAATGCTTCACAATTCAATACTTCTATTAATAAAATTTTAATACTTCACGATTCAAACTTTCAATACGAGAATATGTTTATGATTACTTCTATTAATAAAGTTCTTATTAGAATATACCTAAAAATTCTTTCAAATCCATTTTGTTGATTTTTAAATAATCAATTATTAAAATAAAAAACAGAAAACGAAGCTTTTTTCTACAATAAAATGACTCTAATATTATATTACTAAATATAACAAAAAATAAAAATTTTCACAAAATTTCGAGAATCTGTCGACAATGTTAACAATATATGATGAGATATAACAGCATTCAACAATATTTAATCCAAGAATCAATTTTCCTTTAACATATTCACTACATGTTCGCAGGTGTGTCACGAAAACCACAGTCCACATCAGAAGATTTCTCCCGTCGTCATAAAACTACCAAAAAAATTCTACACGCCAGTCCTTCCGGACCCGACAACCCATTGGAACAATCTCCAACGCGCAAACAATGATCAAAGAAGTCCTTCTTAAGCCGTCAGAAGAAGCAAGCGCATCAGGTTCGACGAGAGATCCTCAATCAGGATGGTGATCCCGGGCGTATCTCCCGGCGAGACCATGTCCAACACGAGCGGTAAACTGAGAAGATCTCGCAGATTGTCTTCGACCAGGGGTTTGAAGGCGCGCCCGAGCGCAAACACAGCTGGGCAAGCGATCCCCCGGCAAGATCTCAATCAAAAACTCGGTCTATGTCCCATAGCGAGCGGGAACGTGGCCGATACAAACGGCCGGCCGGTAATCAATTGGGAATTGAACGAAAGAATCAGCCTGAGCAGCGGCTCCAGTCCCGGTCTGGCGGTACGACCGGACGCCAGGAAGGGGATCGAGTTCAGCGGGAACCGCAAGAAGCCGGAAATCGATGTCTGCCCGCCGCCAGTCAACGGGAATGTCAACGATCGCCGCGAGAATCGAAACGGCAAAGCTAGTCTGGAGCTGATGAACGTGTCCGGCTTCAACCAAGACGTCGAAAAGAAACGACGCGGCTCCTGGACGATCGACATCGACGTGATCAGCCGGCCAGATGAAGAGAACGTCATCAAAAGCGACTCGAAATACGAAATCGGGATTCCTAGTGAAGGTTCATCAGCGTCTAGAAAGTCTAAGCAGCGTCGTTCGGCTGTGTCCACTAAAGCTCAGAAGTCAGCTAGGAATGAGGACGAAGAAGCAGCTAACGGCAGATGGGGTAGAAAAAAGGTTGACAAAACGAACGACTCGATTTCCAAGAGACTGGAGCTGATTCACGAACTGAATCAGAAGATCTTGGCTAACTATGAAAGATTCCAACAGAAGTCGAAAAGGAATCATTCGAAAGACGCGCCGGACACAAAGGACACTGGAAGGAGTCGGGTGATCTTGAACGATGATAAAGAAAGGATAGAAGATCGTCAGTATGCAGAAGTGAAACGTAAGAACCGAGCAAAATCGGAATGTGTGGTAGATAATGGCGAAGACTGCCTGATACAAAAGGGACTGGACATCAACAAATTCACATTCTCCAAAGACCACTGCGAGAAGCTGATCAGTTCGAAGGACACTGACAAGCGACGAACGAAGACCTTGTCGAGACCCAGAGTTCCCTGTGATAATGAGAACTTCATCATGGCTGCGAAGCCAGGGTTTTACGGAGACGATAAAACCCAAAGAATCAACCCGAGGAAGGAATGGTGCCCGCGATCGAGGAGGAACGAGGAAACGCGTGGCGAATCTTCGGTTTTTTACGCGAACGATTTCTCTGGGAGGCACGTAGACGCCAGCACGATCAGTGAGGACACCGATTGTCTGGGGAGCTCCGGCTTGTACCCAGAGAGCTACACCAATCGGTCTAACGAAGTGAAAATCGATGACGCGGATGGGGCCGCGATGGAACGGCCAGGTGATACCAAGGAAAGAGAAACACGTAACGCGACCGGGATCGACCAGCGTGACGCGGGACCGTCCGTGGAGGGCCAGATCGATCAGGAAGCCCTGGAGCACGAGATCCTGGAGAATCTCGACGAGACCATCGACAGATTCGATAACGAACGACCGCATGCTACCGAACAGGCTGCCGAGGAGCAGGTTGACGATAAGAAGATCGACAGCTTCAGCAGCGATTCTATCGAGATAGATGGGCCTTTAAACAATAGCGGCTGCTCGAAAGTGGCTAGGCTTCAGGAGACCTTCAATTCCTCGTGGGATTCCGGAGTTGGCGCGGACGTCGGCACCGGAAGCGGATGGGTTAGGATCCACACGGGGATCGAGAGCAGTCTCGTCTATCTTACTCTAGATACCACCGCGAAAGACGTCTGCAGGGACATGCTGTTAGGCGACGACTTGTCTCTGTTTATTCAGGTAAGCGGGCTGCGGAATTTCCGACGCTGAATTAGCCGTTTCATTTGCGGCGCAAAGGATGCGTGACTCGGTTGGCTTGGGCGGTTCAGGAATATGTCAAGGAGGAATGCTGGGGACTGCAACAAGGAATGTTATTCGCCACGAATTAACTGCGTGGTATGTTGCAAGTTTGGGGGTGGGATTCGACAGGAAATTAGAAAGCTTCTGTTCTATGATAATTTTTAGAAATGTACACTTTTATTTCATTCTTTTATAATGTGATTAATATTGAATATATTAGTGTATTTAATAAATAATTATAATTTTTAATATGACTGGTACTGGGTTTGATATATTAATAGGATTAATATTAAATGCAGTATTAAAGTAACAGAAATATGAAATATAAAGGAAAATGTATTGATAATTTAATATATTTGATACATGTTCCTATGATATAGTATTTTATAACTAGCATCTTAAAAAGATACAGATAATATCAATTTTCCAAACTTTAAGTTAGTTATTTTGATTTTCGTATGATATAATGTTGTATCTAGAACTTGAAAACACAATTTCTTCAACTTTGTAAACTTGTTCAATGGGTACTTCAAAGTATTTAAAGTAAAATCAAATAAGTTAATATTCAAATTAAATTCAACACTTAAATTTTGCTTTTATAATCGTTAAATATTATTGTACTTTGTCTACTTATGTTATAATATCCGATGTGTTTAATATCATACCAAAACGTGTCCTACGAATAAGAAAACCTAGCTATCTCTTGGATGGTACATATCTTGATGTATAAATATTATTGTGTATTACGTACAGTGTTTACTTATTTCCTTTTAAAGAAATTAAATTACAATTTCAATGAGACTCCAAAAATATGTGCATAATGCAGTGTATAAAATCTGCCCGTCGGTTCGATTCGTAGAAATGTAGCATAGTTGAAAATAACAGAAAAAATGCAGTTTTGTTATTATTCAGACTTTCAGCGTTTTGTAGTTTGGTAACTGCTACTGCCGCAGTACTTTTATTAGTAGGTACAATCTAAGACAAAGGCCAAGTCCCTAAAAATGATTCAATTGTATTCATTAAATAATGAAACTTAAATTCATTATACAGATAATTTTTCTAATCATCTCATCGCATATCTATCTTATATTCATAGAAACCTCTATAAATTTTCGCTAAAAGATTATTTAGGACAGTTGTAGCTGTAAAAGAAATTTCAGTAAACATTGAGTACGATTAATTAAATTGTATACTTTTACAATTTTTAAACAATTGCGCTATCAATTTACCTATTAGCTTTTTCTAACATTCGTACATTTCTAAATGAATGTATTGATAAAATGTAAGTCCAATAATTTATCGATACATAAAAATAATTTGACACAAACGAATGCATAAGGAATATAATTAATAATCTTTACTTAGTTGCGATTATCTCCTTGACTGCCAGAGATTTTTTTTAATTGATCATGTCTTGCCACTCTTGAGGTCTTGTCATAAATAATAGATAAAGTTGTCAAATCCAAATGACATTTTCGACTTTTTTATTTTATTGTGTATTGCGATAAACATTTCTAAACAAAATGTCAATACTAGAACAATTGCATCCATCAAAACGACGTGTTTCAGTTTTCATATCTCCCAATTATTGATATCTCAAAAGTATTAAATACCTGAAATTATTTGAAAAATAAATAATTTCACTTCAGTACCATAATCGACATATGAAAAAACCGAAAAAGGTATATTGTTACAATTTACATTCATCATGTAAAACGCTCGATAGTTTTAATATTAAGTTAGTTCTCTCAAAATACATAAAATACCTGTGATTATTTCAAATATAAGTAGCGTTAGGAAATAATGTGAACATATATATTTGGTATTTTATATAAACAATATTGATTTAATGTATAAAACGCAATTATAATATATTGTATAATGAGCAACGACCGAGCAAAACATAATCTGTTTCAAATGAAGTGGGTATCAGATCGAGTGTCTTGCTGTATTAATTACATAATATATTGGGTGATATTTAAACATAGGAAACGCTATTCTTGTACATATTTAATAATGCCATCCAGAGATTTTCATATTTCTTATGCAAAATATTTATGATGTGGGCAGTCAAGAGGTTAAATCGTTTTTATGACTGCCATCTTTCTGTCCCGGACTTTACAATCAGAATATTTTTCCACCGTTTCAATCCCTTCGATGCATTTTTCTCTGCCCGATGATATTGGACTTCGGTGCCTTCGCTGTTTTTAGCGCATCGGTAGTTTGTCTTCTAACTTCGTTGGCTATTTCGGGTGGGAAATTGTAGGTGCGCTTTTCCACCTGGCCGAAATATCCATTACTGGGGTATGTCTCGGTGTAATGGCGAAATTGTGTCCTTTTACCAGAACAAGGTAATGCGTTAGAGGACAAGAGATAGTCCCTGATATTTCTGATTCTATCTCTTAATACGTCAACTTAAATGTTAATTGAATTAATCTTTTCACTCCTATGTATGAATATTTCCTCCCAAAATCGTCATGTTAAATTATAAAATATGTATCGGTGACTCTATTTATCTAATTCAATTTTATTAACGCTATAACTATCGAGCAGTTAAATCGACCTTTTAAAATATCTCTATAGAAACTCGAGAAGTGCATGTATTGAGACTTTAATTGATTTATAATTCAGGTTGCGTATACTAAATCAATTTCTTTTCCATTCACCGCAGCTAAAAATTCGGGCCTTAATAACTTGCAAAAAATGAAAGAAATTTTATATTCAATGTAAATCTTCGCCCACTCTGACGCATATAAGCAATTATAACAACAAAAAATGTTCACTTATGTTTAAAAGAAAAAGTAATATTTATATTCATTATATGTTTATTCAATTCAGTTTGAAATCTTTGTCGCAAGTTTGTGTTAACATTACAGGAAAGGGGTTAATCAAAAGGTGGAAGGATATATTAATTTATAGTTTTCACATTGTGGTTCGATTTGAATCAGTTATCTGTGGAATTTTGTTTGAAAAATCTCTCACTGTACGCACTATAAAACTAAATAATAAAGTATATACTTGTCAAACACAGAGCAAATGCATCTATAATATATTTCTAACGAAAAACTAAAGTAAAACGAAGAAGAATTACACATTTATCTGAAAAAAATAAGTAATTTATTGTTGAAAATATTAGTACCATTTTACCCTTTATAATGACATGTATACTTGTACACAGTTAACTGGTTAAAATACACGTAGTTCGACATTTGGAGGAATAATCGTCAATCAGAGACTTCGATTAGTCAGTCAAACAATGAAAAAACATTAGAGATTACGGGAAACTCTAATAACATCGACAGGAGTATAGATTGTCACCAGCACTCGATCTCCAGTCCCCTATTCCCAAATTTATAATTGTCAACCAACCAATTAAAATCTCTGGTCGGTGACCATTGATCCGGGACGTGAACAGCGTGTACTTTGAAAGTGAAATACGGTACAACGGTATCAGCATGTCACTCAATCCTCTGATGGAACTAGTTGCAACGTTAGTACACGTTTAGATACCCTTTTTTCAAAACACGAAAACTGCAGTGGTGTAAGCTCCATTACAATCATGAATTTTTTTGAACAGAGACATACAACAATACAAACACATACAATAATAATGAATGATTAAATTGCTATTTTTAGACATTAGTGACATAAGTAACAACAAAGTGTACATTTTAATAATGTGTTTCGGAGACGCCATCTCTTTTTTACTTGGACAAAGAAAATTCGCGATTAATCATCAACCTCATGCCGCACCTCACGCATTGCAGAGTCATTTTATTTTCTCAATCGAAAGTAAAATCTCTGTTATAGCTTTCTGTGATGGTTTCTGCAGTGAAAAGAGTCGTTCCACTGTATGGAGAAGATAAATTTAAGCTGGATCCTTTAGTAATCAAAGTAGATAGACGTATCTCACTAATTTTGAAAATGATTTTAATATTTTCATGTATCTTGAACATTTTAAAACCTATATCATTTTATGCCTGAAAGTCTATAAGTTTATAGAATCGTTTCTTACAAAAATACTGTTATATAGCTCTCATATCTTTCGACATTTGCCCGTAACAATCGCATAAAATATTAAGTGAAAGGTAAAAATTATAGACATTTAATGGTAATTGTTTCGAACCACGGCTTCATCTCCAAACACGTTGTATAATAAATTCTTTTATGAGGCGAGATTACCAAACGAGAGGTCATATCGTGGAATTTTTATTTCACGTCAGTTCTTGCATCATACAGAATGCACGCATGCATTATTAGGTGCAATAAACCATTTTAAGAATACAAAACACTTTAAGATAAACTTAGTTAAGTATAATTAAATTTTATATTTATAAGTGTTTTATACCTATAAGACTGCAGATTTTTATGCATTTATGGAAAATTTGAAAATACAGAATTGGATGTAACGCATGCAATATAAAAAGTGTATGAAATATCCAAAATGTAGTACTTTTTGCAATATTTTCTAAGAAAAAAATTTTTCGACCGTAATTATACTTTTCTAATTACGTTCTTAAAAATTTGAACTTGCATGAAGATCTACAGTTTACTTACAGGTATACTCGTAACAAATCTTATAATTGTTGTTTAACTCATTGCCTTATAACGTGTCAGACTCGCGGTGAAGATTTTAAACAAAATTAAACAAGCATAAATATTATTTTCTTTCGAATTCAAATTAAATATTATTCTTTTGTTACCAATGATTATACTTTAGAACAGCGTTTCTTAAACTATGGGGCGCGACCCCAAATGGGATCGTAAAGCGAAATGTTGGGGTCGCGTAAATTTAATTCGGATACATGAATTTAAAGAAACATTAGTTATAATCTTTTCATTATTTTTAATTTAATATACAACATTTTCTGTAAAACGCGATTATAAAATCGTAATACTATTTTATATTTAAATCTGGGATCGTGAAATTATGTTGATAA